TTTCAGTACTTAAAAAATGTAAATGTACATAGGTACAGTTTCGTTTTGTAGAAGTCGTACATTTGAAGCACTTTACGGGCCTTGTAAACTTGATTTACTCAAAAACAAGTTTGTGTACCAACTAAAATACTATTGTTGGTACAAAAACAAAACTTGTTTAATACATCTAGTTTAAATTGAAATAACTTTAGTAGACAGTAGTTTTATACCCCTTAAGGTACTGCGTACTTTACCAAACCATAAGTGTGAGTGGCTCAACGATTTTGCAGATTCGTATTCAGCATCATAATCTGAATTCGCCCAAAAATATTAGGGATGCTTAATCACCGAACATATTTTATAGACAGACAACATACTCGTGTAGCACCTATATAGGTCCTATTTAGATTCTTAAATTGAAAATGTATTTTATATTATATATTGTGAGGAGAAGGACATAATATAGTTCCAGACACAAAAATATAAATGAATATATAACAAAGCAAAGTGAGGATAAGTAGGAATCACAGGAATTCAGTAATTACAATAACTTAATCCCTTTAGATCAAATGCTACGATTTTTCACGTTGTTTCCTTTTAAATGTTTTTTATAGATGTATAAAATTACACATGTGCATTAAAGCGTTTATTTCCAATTGGTTTTATCATTTTCAGTTTTAATAAATTTGGAAGACCTGTGACCTGGCCTTACCTAACCAACTTTAAATCTGAAATACTTAAGGGTGAAGAATATAGCAAGATTCAAGGGATAACTGATTTTCTCCTACAAATTGTATACGAATATTCGTAGTTTTTATATTAGATGGTCGGAAAATATTACATACACACATCGATTTAGCATTCAACATTTTCTGAATTATTTTCAAGAAAATCCTAAAAAACGCACTTACACACACATGTGCATTTTGGTAGCTACATATTTGTATGGCTTGTATAACTGTTTAAATTGACTTTTGAAATAATGCCATAGTTCGTTCGATTTTTCGCAAATAAATGTGATATATTTGTTTAATGTCTTAGGTACACTATTTTTTCAATTTTTTTGTATGAAATGGCAAGTATAGAGTCTAAAAACTATTCGTATAGTCGCACAGTTGAAGTTCAGTTTGTAGTAGTTAAACATGGCTTTCAAATTCGCTATTTTATTACTATCTTCTGTCATAATTAATAATTCTGTATCGCAACCATCAACTAGAGAAGTAATATTTTATATTTCATATACTTAGAGTAATATTTTGAAACTATAAGTATTTTGTCAGTGTTTTGCTAGATTATTTGTTACAAACCGGTCAATGCTCAGTATATTACTCTACAGCAATTTTTTCTCGGAAATTATAACTTTTTTTAGCTTAACGATTTTGCAATAAACATACTTACCGTATTTGTGTACATAACACATAACAATCATAACTTATCTGCTATTATAATTTTCGCGTTTTAAATTAGTTCAAAAACTATAACAATATTTTTTAGGTTAGATTTTTTCACGTTATCATACAACCACGTTGAAAAAATGTTGTCTGAAACTATTTATTTTTTTATGTACAAAATAACTGTCTGTTTTTTTTATGTATAGAATAAATTAGATAAACATTGAATTAATTATGGAATAAAATTTAGTTATTGAAATAAACTTTTCAGGTTTTATCAAAAGCCTTTGGTATTGCTTATGACTGTTACAAATATGATGTACCCGGTTCTGATGACCCTACGATTCTTGACAAGTCCGACTTTTTAGATTTTGTGGGTGAATTCAGTTATAACTCAGTTTCACTAGAAGCACCAGGTAACCATTATATTATTCTATACTCAATGCATCATTTAATATTAATTTTTAAGTAAATATATTAAGATATATTATTGTATATCTTGGTGGAAGTTAAGTATTTAAGTAGAAATAAAAACACAATGATATTAATATGATTAAAACCAAAACTATTAAACATAAAATCACACAGTATAATAACAAATAAAGAACATTTTACAACGTTACAGTTATACAGTATACATAATAGTAGATATCCGACATCTTAAGCAGAAGCTTATATATATACATATATATAGTAAAATCTAGATCATAATTGAAATTGGTCTTGTAACAAACAACCTTCAATTATTTAAATGATACTGCACACACATATTTCATACTCCGATAACATAGTATTATTTATATTTAATAAAATATTTAAAATAAACGGTGGTAGTAGTTAAAACTCAAAATATCAGCATATTTAAATGATTTATCCAACATCTACACAATAATGAGAGAGAGTTCTACTTCAAATTATAAGCCAACTAATATTTTTGATTGGTACAAAATCAAAACTTGTTTAAATCACCTAGTTTTGTTTGAAATGAGGATATAGAATAAAAAGATTAATGTTGAAGTACTTGAAAATTTGTATTTTAAGATAAAAATATACACATTATTTAAAGTGAGCTAATCTAATAGATACAGGAAATTACATAATTTGTTAAAATCACTCATGTTTTTTGGATTTTGTACATTCGGGGGTTTCCATGAATTTTTTTTTGTGCTACAATAGTTTTGATTACTGTTCACCTGCTTTCTATATCTTAAATATGTAAATACATGATATTTTTTTTGCATTTTAGATTATATATCGTTTGACGATTTTTCGGAACTCGTGCCTTTGATTTGCAAAAAACAAGATATTGATATAAACGACTTCCTAAAAGAAAGAATAGCAGCAGCTGATGTAATCTAGCTTTAGATGAAATATCATATTTGTTTTGTTTAATTTATATTGTATATCAGTAGATAAGTATTTTTATACAGAGTGTTTCAGCATGAAAGGTAAGTAATAGATGATAGGTGATTGGACATCTGGAGAATCCACAAATAAGCCCCCGTTTTATTTTTTTCGTTAAGTAAAAAATTGAAGGTTTCGACATTTAAGTAAAAAAAAATGACTTAAAAAAATATGTTATTTCCTGTTATAGTTTTTGGCAAATTAAATTAACTCTAATATCGGCTTACAGTAAACATTTTTAGATTTTTCTACAAATGTTGAGCTTATTAAAAACGATGTTATAATACAATGCCTAGGTCAATTAAAGATAAACAGGGTTCATTTGACTTGCCAAAAACTAAAAGTAAACAAGCTTACAAAAGTGTAAGTTTCTCAATTAAAAAGTGGGGTCACATCATTTTTTGAGTAAGGGGCCAAAAGAGAGTAACTATTATGTGACCCCTCTTTTAAAATGAGCTTTTTGCACTGAATTACAGGGAATAATTTTTCATTTTTTATTTATTATTTTTTTACTTAACTGTCGAAACCTGTATGTTTTGATCTAAAGAAAAAGGGAAAATGGGTGGCTTATTTGGGGGTCCTAACCTATTACTTACCTTTCATGCTGAAACAGCCTGTATCATACAAATAACACTTTTAAATATCATCACTGACATTGGCAAATATTTCAATTACACAATTATATACATTGTATTATCCAAGGGTTAAAAACGTAATCAAACCAAAATGTACACTACTCGTTATAAGTACCAAATGAGCCAATTAAAATAATTAGTAGTATGAAAACATTTTAAATTTTGTATATAACTATCCGATTTTTTTTTTTTTTTGTTATAAGTTTTATATTATACTCTAGTATATACATAATTATACTTTATATAACGTTTTTATGAAATCTATTAGATAAATAAGGAGTTAATTATAGAAATAAATAAAATAAGCGAAATAATCTTTTCAGTTAATGACAAATGCCTTTGATCTTGCACATGGCTCTAACACCCTTGGTTCTATAAGAAATATGATGAGTATTCGACAGACCGCATTTTTAGATTTTGTGGGTAAAGAGGACAATTTAGAACATGTAAACAGTTATTGGACAGCGAATTCAGTTTCAAAAGAAGCACAAGGTAACCATTATATATACTTATAATATAACATTTATTATAAACTTTTAAGTAAATATTTAAAATAAACTTTCTTGATAACCTAAAGTTAAAACACAATAAACCCAGCAATATTTAAAATGATTTATCAATGATCTACCGAATGTTGAGGGATGGCGCGATTTCAAATTTTAAACAAACTAAAATAATATTGTTGGTCAAAAACAAAACTTTTTTATAACACCTGGTTTCGTTTGAAAAAAGGTATTAGAATTTAAAGATCAATGTTGAAGTACTCGAAAGTTATGTATTTTCAGTTAAAAATATGTATATCAGTAATCAAAAATTTAAAAGTAATCATGTGTAAGAGAAACTTTTAATTAGAACTAAAGAGTAAAAGTATTTTCTAATAAATACAGACAATTGAATAGTTTGTTTAAAGCACGCTTGTTTTTTGGACTTTGATGGTTTTTAAAATATATTTTTCATACCACAGTTATATTAATAGCTTTGTCTACTCTTCACCCGCTTTCTATCGTATACAGAGTGATCATTTTATGGTGAACCACTCAATATCTAATAGGGTTCAATAAGAAATATAATTTTTTTTGATAATGTTTTTTTACAATGTGATCTCAATCTATCTATTTTTGTGTTTACCCCCACCCCAACTTATTGTTTTTTTTTAATAGAAACTTTTGAAACTTAATTAGTAACGCATACATTTCATTGGGATTGAGAATAACGTACTAATAATTTTGACAGTTTGTGCCAGTTCTATTAATAGTTTTGACTACTCTTCACCGGTTTTCTATATCCTATAAATGTAGATACATGATGAATTTTTTAATTGAATACATTTTTTTTGATTGTTTTTTAAGATAACATACGTCTCATAGAGTTTAGGAAACTTGTATATTGGATTTGTTCAAAACGAGAATTTGTTTTAAAAGACTTCCTTGAAGAAAGGATACCAGTAGCTGAGGTAACCTAGCTTTGGATTTATTATCATATAATTATTGTTTACCTAATTTATATTGTTATATCAGTAGATATACATGATATTATTAATACTTTTAAATATCATTACTTATATTAAAAAATATTACATTTAAACTATTAAAAACATTGCATTATCCAACGAGTGAAAACTTTATCAAACCAAAATTTACACTTTTTGTTACAACTACCAAATAAGTTGATAAAAATAATTGATAGTATGATATAATAAAGAAATTTTTTTAATGTGTAATTGAACAGTTTATTTTGATTTTTGGTTTCTTGTTAGTTGTATAATGTACTCTATTCTGTATAGAATTAAATTCGATTTTTAATTATACACATTTTTCAGACTATCGTCAGTTCTTTTAATATTGCTGTAGCCTATTATAAAAATTTTTGTGCTGAAAACATAACTATTAGTCAGTCATACCCCGCATCTGAAAGAAGATATATTCGTCAGTCCGATATTTTAGATTTTTTGGGTGAAGAAAAAGGGAATGTGTTTTTACGACGTTTAAAAGAATATAGGACAGTGAATCCTGTTTCGGAAAAACAACGAGGTAACTAGTATTTTTAAATAATAATTTATTATGAAATGAATTGCCGTATAAATTAAGTTAAACTAAAAAAAACGGTATTATTTTAATTATTTATCAAAGATCCATCCAGTGTTGGTGAGATCGCGATTTCAATATTTGAACCAACAAAATAATAATTGTTGGTACAAAAACAAAACTTATTTAAAACACCTGTTTTCATTTGAAATAAACTATCAGAATATAAAGATCAATGTTGAACTGCTTGAAAATGTTGTATTTTCAATAAAAAATATATAAAAGTACTAACCCATTTAAAGTAATCATAAGTAAGAGACATTTTCATATGTACAAAAGAGCAGAAATATTTTCTAATAAATACAATTAAATACATATTTTATTTGGAGAGCGCTTGTTTTCTGGAATTTGTACGTTCGGGGCAAAATATTTGCTGAGCCGTAGTTATTTTACTACTTTTGATAAATTTTTACTTTCTTTCTATACCCCAAAAATGTAAATACATGATCATTTTTGAAAGATTCATGAAAAATACATTTTTGATTTGTTTTTTAGATAAGATAAGCTTCGAAGAATTTAGAGGAATTATGAAATTGATTTGCTCAAAACAACAATTTGATTTAAAAGACTTCCTTGATAAAAGAAGAGAAGCAGTAGTGGTAATTTAGTTATAGATATTATACCATATTAGTATTGAATATTTATTAATTTGTTTAGTCATATCAGTATACCTTGATAAGATAATAATACTTCTTTTAAATATCATCACCAACATGCACAAATAATACATTTGCAACCATTATATGAATAATTTACCTTTATTATTCGCTTTTATGGAATAATATTTAATTAGCAAAATACATTTTTCAGGTTATTAAAAAAGCTTTTGATTTAGCTTATGAACTCTACACTAAAACTGGAAAAAATGTTATTAGTCTGTCTGACTTTTTATTTTTTGTGGGTAAAGACAAGGATAATTGTTTTAAAGTAGCGAATTCAGTTTTAAAGGGAAAAGGTAACTATTAGATATACTTTATAAATAAGTTAAAATACATTTTTAAATAAATATTTATTATTAAATAACTTTTTAAAAACGACTGGTTTCGTTTGAAATAAAGTATTAGTACCTATATAATGACCAAAGAGCCAAAATAATTTCTAATCTCCATAGTTTGATTTACGCACGGTTGTTTCTTTGGATTTTGTACATTCAGTTTCAGTTTCAAAAAAAAAATTATTTATACCTACCACAGTTATTTAAATATGTTTTACTACTGTTAACCTGCTTTCTATATCCTAAAAATGTAAATACATGATGAATTTTTAAATGAAAAATAAATGTTTTGATTGTTATTTTAGATGAGCTATACATGAAGGATTTTAAAAACACTTTGTATTTGATTTTCTCAAATCAAGAACTTGTTTTGAAAGACTTCCTTGAAAAAAAGATGGCAGTAATTAAGGTGTAGATATAATATCATATTAGTATTGTTTAATTTATATTGTAATATAACTATAGATAAGATATTAGTATTGCATTTAAGTATCTTCACTTATATGCACAAATATTACATTTACACAATTATATTCATTGTATTATCCAGGAATTGAAGAATTATAAATTAGTTTTTTTGTAAAACGAAATTTAGTTAGTAAAATTCATTTTTTAGGTTGTAAAAAATGCTTGGACTACCGTTTGTAATATTTTGCATGTTGGTGATAAACATCATTTACGTCAGTCTGAATTGTTAGATTTTATGGGTCGAGCCGACGATTCACATTTACATTTTTTAAAGGATTATTGGTCATTGAATATAGAGTCACTAAATGAACAAGGTATCTATTATATAAACTTTATGTGTCAATTAAAATTACTTATTAAATAAATATTTAGTATAAAATAAAATGTTGTAATAACTTAGAGTTAAAACTCTAAAACTTGGCAATATTTGTTAATGATCTACTCAGTGGGAGGGAGAGAGCTTGGGTAATATTTTAATTTTTGAACCAACTAAAATACTATTGTTTATTTATATTAACTTCTTAACCAAGTGCAAGTGACACAACATTTTTGCAGATTTGTAATCAGTATCATAAGAGTAAATCACTCGAAAATATTAGGGGGGCTGAGCACCAAACGAATTTGATAGAAAACAGAATCGTGAGGGGCTTTGTCCCAAAAACTATACCATCTCCGTTATATTTAATCTCTCTAAAAATGAAATTTATAATACATTTAAATTAATTATAACGTTTTGTATAAAGCAAATTATTTGTATTTATCAGTTACTTATTATAAATGATTAATATGCGTTGGTCAGCATATTTATTTAAAATAGATTCGTTGCTTAAGACAATATTTTTTTCGTTATGAATAATTGATAGCTGCGTTAGTCAATCTTTTTGATCTTAAAAATAAATACTTATATAAATTAATAGCGATATGTACATGTACCTAAATCATCTGGACGCTAGTAGATATTATAAATTTCCTCATGTGCGATTTTTATAACTGGTGTGACTAAAGTAACTGTAGCCAAAAATATTTCAGGTCTACTTAAATACGGAAAAGACTAAAATTGCAAAAAAATATATATATACTTTCCTAAAATATATCTGATACACCTATAGGCTAAAACTTAATTTTAGTTAAATATTAAAAAACCAGTACAATGGTTCGGACCGTAGTGGAAACGGGGAAATCGTTGGTTCCCAGAAATTAAAATCACTTTCAAATAAACGCTTCGTTGCGAATTTGTGATTAGTATGTTCAAACCAGTACAGTCCAAACCAAGCACAGTAAGAAAGTATTAATGTGAGGTGCAGTGTCCACAGTTAAGCATCAAAGCGTTTGCTTGAAAGTAATTTTATCCAAGTAAGAAAGTACAATGGTTCGATGCTCAGTCACGGGCACTAGCTTGTTTTTTGAATTTTTTTCATTCGGGGGTTCCCAAAAAATATTTTTTTACCTTAATTATTTTAATATTTTTGACTTATGTTCACCTGCTGTCTAAAATTATAAATGCACTATGAATTTAAACGATGATGAAAAATAAATTTTTGTTTTGTTTTTCAGACAACATGGGTTTTAAAAGATTTGCGGACCTTGTGATTTTTATTTGCGCAAAAAAAAATATAGATATAAAAGACTTCCTTAGAAAAAGGATAGCAGTAGCTGAGGTATTTTTACTATTGATATAATATCAGATTAGTTTTGTTTAATTTATATTTTAATATCAGTATATATTAAAATATGAATAATAAGTACCTATCTTTATAAGATATTAGTAATATATTTTAAATATCTTCACTTATTTTTACTTATACTGCCATACTACCAATAAAGTTGATTAAAACAATTATGGTGGTATAACTGTTCGTTTTTTTTTTAGTTTTTAATCATACTGTCTATAAAAAATGTAATTTATTATTAGATTAGCACTGAATAAATTAGTTGTTTTATGAAATACAATTTAATTAGTTCAATACATTTTTCAGGATATACATACAGCTTATACTTCCGCTCTTAAACATTACAAAATTGCTCTTGGAAAAGGTTTTAGTGAGTCCAAATTTTTAGAATTTGTAGGTAAAAAAGAAAATTTACAATTGGTAAATCAATTTTGGACAGTGAAAGGAATATCAATAAAACGACAAGGTAACTCACCTTGATAAGATATACTTTATGTTTCATTTAAAATACGGTTTTAAATTAATATACTTTATTATAAAATAAACTGTCATGATAACTTAAGTTAAAACTTAAAAATTCAGCAATTTCGATAAATGATCTACCCAATTTTGAGGGAGTGCGTGGGTAATGTTTCCATTTTTGTACTAATTAAAATATTATTGTTGATACAAAAACTGTTTATAATAGTTTGTTTAAAGCATGCTTGTTTTTTGGATTTTATACATTGGGGATTTCTGAAAAAAAGTTGTTGTGTCATAGTTGTTTTAATAGTTTTTACTTCTAATCTCCTGTTTTCTTTATACTATACATTATGAATCTTTAAATGAAAAATTAATTTGTTGTTTTTAGATAACATAGATCAAAAGATGTTTTCGCGACTTGTGCAATATATTTGCTCAGAACGAAGTTATGATATAGCGAAATTCCTTAACGAGCGATTGGCAAATATGAGTAGCAAATCCTAGATTAGCTGTATAAATTATAGGATATTAATTTTGATTTATTTATTGTAACACGAGTAGATAAATATCTTTACGTTTACAAGGTATTAATAATACTTTTAAGTATCTTCACTTACATGCACAAATATTAAAATTGCACAATTATATACATTACCACGTTGTTATCAGAAATATATTAAATACAATTATTGTATTATATTAAATGAATAAATTTGGGTCAAATAAAAAATATAACATTATTATAAATTACATTTTAGTAGTTATTATAAATACTGATAGTATATTTCTATCAATATTATTTAATTATAACAAATTCTACAAGCGACTGTAAGCTCAATTTTATAATATTGCTTTTATCGGAAACCTATAAGCAAAATGGTTTTTTGGCTAACACATTTCTCTCTCTTATATAATTAGTATCACAATTCTCAAGATATTGTTTATTGTAGTGTGCTGCTTTGTAGCTTACTCATTTAATCTTGCAGCCACCCAAGTTCTTAAAGTACATAGTAGTATTAAGAAAAATTGTAGGATGTATATTAATTCTTCCGGGGTCCTACTTCCTTAAGAAATTTAACTAAAATAATAGAATCACGAAGAAACTTTAATAAACATTTTTAAAGATGTAGTAATTATAAGAAAAAATGAAACAATAAATAACAACACAAATTTGTTTAGACGTGTCTTAAAAAGATAAATAAAATCCCCAAGCTGTTATGTACTAAAATATTCAGAATACTTTTGTGTGGTATTAAAACTTTAAGTACATTATAGAGACTTGGTTAACGATAAGTAAATGAATACTTTTTAGGTTTGACTTTTCCGTAATCAGGCAACTATAACGTTTAACTTTACAAACTAAAAAAAGTTTGTCTAAACTTTTTTTTTTTTAATGTGTAAAACAACTGTCCGCTTTTTTTTTTGTTAGATATTCTCTATTATATGCAAAATTCAACTTTATGATTCGTTTTTAAGGAATATATATGCAGTTAATTATAAAATTAAATAAAATTAGTGAAATAAACTTTTCAGGTTTGAAAGAGTCTTAATTTCGCTTATGACTGTTATTACAATTATAATGATGTAAACACTTGTATTATATTGATCATTCCCAATTTATAATAACGAAAAAAAAAATGAAAACTGAGCGTATCTAAGTATTCTTAGTATGACCAAGATAGATTGGTTTAGAATATACCTACTCATTTCCTCGTCGAAGACACCAAAATAAAATAATACAACTTAAAAAAATAACACAATACCATTGTATTGTAAAAAATACTCTGAAAGGTATGACAGAACGCTTGTTGTACACTTGCATTAAGATATTTGTTTTTTTTAATTCCCTGAACGATGAACAATGCATACAAAATTTGAGTTTATCCAGTTTTAAAGCGGTTAAGGGTTTTAAAAGGAGTCTTCTTTAGGCAATAAAAATGGTTTGAATCAATTTCGACCGTGTTAATATATTTCAAGCAATCTATTATTGTCTCTAATTATTTATTTTTATTTGTTTTTAAGTATAAAATTATTATTAACTTTTTTTATGTTATACAAGAATAACAATAAAATAATTTTATTATTTTCTTAGTCGAGTTTTTATTTAAAAAATAATTTTTTTATTTTGTATTTAATAGAAATGTATTAAAAATATGATTAATGACTCAGCTTTTATATTACAGTTTTATTTAAATGAAAAATTTAGTTGTCTTTGAAACCGCCAAACAATTTCCTCAATTTGTTTAACGATTTCATAGACTGCATAAAGGCTACTATCTATGCTAAGTCAAAGTCAACTTGTATATATATTTTTTTATCTTTAAAACCATTTTGAATGGTATCTTTTTTTTGTTTATGCCTACCTAAACAGGTTTAAATAAAAAAAAATGTTTTAATTTGCTATCAAGGATGCTGTGATATTAAATATTTAAAAAAAATACGATAGAGACATTTTGAAACGATTTACTGCAACAACATTTTTTTTAAGTTGCATAAATAAAATTTTACAATTTGCTCATTGCATATATTATTTTCACCAAAGACGTATAATTTTTTATGTGTGCATTGTCAGCCATCGCAGCTGTATTGCAAAAAAACAAAGGCCATCGCCAAAAGTATACTTTACTAACCGTCAACTACGTCATCGATTGTTCGACTGCATTTATACATTTTTTTTCTGTTTTTTACAATTATTGTGAAAAGAATAAAAATATCAATTTTTATTAGAAATCGCTCTAAATTTTCGGCAAAAAAGTCTTTATTAAAAAAGTTATTAATTTGTATATGTTACCATTTATGTTTAAAAAGTCGACCTTCAATGGACTTTGTAGACCCCAAAAATAGATATTATACGTTTTCAGTCGGTATTTTGCTATATTCGTTTTCTTTGACTACTTTTCGCGCATCGATGAAAAAAATCAAAATAATAAACCGTCATAAAACAAAAACACTTTGTAATAATACACGTGTACCTTTTCATTTTCTCTTGAGATAATCACATTTCTAAGTTTTTATAATAATTGGAAACACTTAATTGACTGTGGACAACACCTTGATCAAAAGTCCGTCGCTGGACATGGTGTACAAAATTCGGGGCAGAGGAAAAATGCAGGAAATACCAGAGTTCTAGCATCACTGGCTAAATCTCAATATACGTCTGACCATTTTGGTTGATTTAATCTAAGATTCCTTCTTTCTGTGCTTCTACATTGTCCAATCCCCGAATATCTGATAAGATAATCATCTGACAGGAGATTATTGAACAAAGCGCATTTTTTGGGAGGTAGTTAACTAGTAAAACACGTTACCGTGGTCTTAAAACCTAAACTAGCCGTAATAGTGTTAGGTTGGGTTAACTTACCATAAGACGGAGTGCTATTATGTTTACTTTTAGCTTTTTACTCGATAAAAAATACCTTTATTTTATACATTGCGACACATCAAAACTGTATTAGTCTAATTTTCAGATCGTACACCAGAAAATTAGGCCTAAAAAGTGTAGGGTGTGTGAATTAAGCCCGTTCTATGATTTCTACAGAATAGACCTAATAGAGCCTGAGCAGTTAGTTATTACAATTATTTTGCCTTTGTATATCATAAATATGTCAATGTGTCATTTTTAATATTGGGCATAACAAAACCCACCACCACATTACCACTAGTAATAATAGTATTCGATAAAGTCGTATAAACATTTGACTGCTCCTGCGATCATTCCAGACCAACGGAATGGAAGAAACCCTCTTTCGCCGCCGTTGACTCCTGCGGGAATAGCTGATTTCGGTATATTTCAATTATATATGTCGACTGTAAGAACAGCAAAAAAATAAAAAATCTTTAGTTTAATTCCGATCGGGCTAATTTATTTCCGAACGAACGTACCGAAAAAGCATCCGGTAACGACCACCGTGAAAATAGTTAGTCAGAAGATTTATGGTGGTGAAAATATTGTTGATGGCCGTCGACACGCGAACATCCCAAGCCACCACAACCATTAAAAAATGTGTAAAAAATAACATAATGTTTCAATAATGTCATCGAAATGGCTTAATACCCAATTGCTGTGTGAACATTCAACAGTGTAAAAAACGGTTTAAGGCCCCTGGATACCGACCGTTTTTTTCAGCCAAAACACATCATTTTTTGTCCATCGCACAGAGTGAACCATTGATCCGATAAGCAATCTAAAAACAGATATGAATTCGTCATGAAGTTGGGAGATGGTAAACTGCGCCAAAAGTGACCCTTTTTCTATAAGCTGATATGTAAACTGCGGTAAAAAAAATTTTAACATTATACAAACTGCGACAAAAATGATAAGGCGCATTCTATAAACTGCGACAATTTATTTTGTATACATACTATATAGTATATAATATACTTATATTAGGTATGTACAATAATACATACTGATACGGTAACAAATACTCGTGTAGTACAATTTTGCGATTATTTAACAGAAACTTATATGGAAGGTATAT